ATTGATTATGGATAAATACCAAAGTTATGTGGAGATACTGTCTCTATTTGAGATTTGCCATGCTCAGAGCACTTTTATTTTCAGAAAGTTAGTAAGTGTGCACAGGCATTCCTTTGAAATACAAAGATCTGTATATTTCTGCATGTAACAGGCTTTTCTACTTGATCTTCCCAAGTTTGTTTTTTTACGTTTTCATCGCATCTGTTTAACGAGGTCAGATTTCATTATGCATGCTGGTGGCATTGACAGTCTATTACATTGTTTACTATGCACGATGATATGAGAGCTAAATAGATCCTGATTATTCAAAAAAAAATCACTGTTTGCAGTCCATGCACGTCCATGCATTCTAAAAATTTCATAGTATCAGTTCATTCATTGTTGACAACTGCAAATTATAAAGTGATTAACAAAGTTGCCAGTAAAAAGAAGTGGTATTTGGACTTTAGTGAAGTGATAGTAAGAGTTTTTAATGGCAGAAAAATATCTTCATAAAGCTTTTTATATGTTGTATAAAAACAAACTAGAGTAATAGTAAATGGGTTTGAGTCTAGTACCGGACTTCAGGGTGGGCTTTAGTATTCAGATCAATCGAACTTAAAACTGTCACTAATAATCTGAAGGAGTAAATGATGTATTAATTAGAAATCTATAATAAAAGCACTTCTAATATTGTATCCTTCCATAACCCTTAATCATGTGGGATGTATTGCTTGACACAACCCACAATGTTTATTATTGAAATAAATGTAGATTTGGTAGTATGGGTGTACATTTGGGAACTACCAAATCAGGTTATGTCCATTATATGGGAAAGTATCCCAAGAAGTACTAACCTAAGAGATGCTTAGAAGGTCACTATGGAAAACTTCTTCAGAATGAGACCTGTGTAATACCATGGGCAAATGTTAGACAAATACAGTATATGACAGTAATTGAACATTTGAATAATGAGTAGGAGGTGGGAATTAGTTTGCATTCAGTGCACAGCACTGACTTTTCCTACCGATTTCTGAGTTGGTATAGCTTCCCTTCAAGAAAGATATGCAAACACTGCTGTTCAAAGTAAGCCTGCAAAGTGATGCAGGGACTGGAAAATAAGGCTCACAGAATAAGACTAAAGGAATTTGTCTTACTAAAGAATTGGAGAGGTGACGTGATCACCACCTGTATAAACCTGCACTTGAAATAATATAACCGATAGTGAAGAAAGATTTTTCCTTAATATGGAGACAAGATAACAAGATACAAAGGCTTACAACTGAAGCTAGACTTAATATCTTATCTTTGAAATCATGTCTTTTAAAAAAAATACATTATTTCCTGGCAGTATTGATTTTTAAATTTATAAAATTATGAAGAAAAAGGTGAATTTACAACACTGTAAAATACAGTTGAACTGTGTGTGTGTGTGTATGTATGAATTATTGGCTTTCTGTTCTGTTTCTGGGACAATTTTTATAGTGTGTAAGTGAAGTCAATTTGATATTGATCCTTTTAGTCCTAAAATTAATAAGTGTATGCTCTTTCTTGTTTCTTCTTTTCCCACAGCATCATAACATGGATTTTATCCATACTGCTCTCAGCATTCTCAGAGCTCTTGAGTTTTAACTGCTTGTGCCAGATGCTTTCAAGCAGAACATGGCTAGCACTGTACCTTTGGAGGTGGTGGTCGGGGCCAGAATACTGTCTTGACAAGAGCATCAACAGAAGTCACTAGCGCTCTGCCTAGTGTTGCTTCACTTTGGAGCTGCCCTCATGTTTTTTATCTTTCATCCAAAATAACTGGTCCTAAATTATATCTCTGTGACACATGACAAAAGGGTTTTGATATTGTTCCTTCCTCTGAAGCCTCAGCTTTGGAAATGGAAAGCAAGTGCTTTGCAGTTGGAAAGATAATCAGAGTTGTTAAAGTCTTACTAAACAACTGCAAGTGATGTTGTCAGAGATGCTTTAAAAATTATCTTGCTTTAGCTGAGATGTAATGCCTGACAGCGATTGTCTCAAATCCAGTGTGATGCAGAGTGACCCAGCTGCAGTCATCTCATAGTCAAAAATTGTGTTTCAGGGGCTTGTGTACAGGGAGTTACTTGTGAACGCTTACATTTCTCTTGCAAGGAATTATTTTGCTATGCCAGTATAGTGATGCAAAAGTAAATATTGGTAAAAGTAGTAACATCAAGAGACTTTTACAGTTTAGACATTCTTACCTAGAATCATTTTCCCCTAAACACCATTCCCTCTCCTTCACCCCACTCTGTTTAACAGCAAGTAGAGTGTCCTGCAAGCATGTTATCTCTTAACAGATAACCAGATCTGTGTATAAGGAAGGGCATTAATAACATGTTTCCAGTAAGTGACTTGATAGTTAGTTTTATTAAATAGATAGTATTATATATACATGTGGAATTATATATAATATCATATTTGTTGCATTAAAGATTTGTCTGGGAATCAGTGACAGAGCATAGCTATAGGACTGGAGCAGAAAGTGAAGTCGAGGGGATTCAGTGTTGCAGCGTTTCGGCTGTGGGCGGAATCTTGCAGACTCAGACAAATGCTACACATTTGTAAAGGTCTCCCTAATGAGACTGCATAAAGTGATTAACATCCAGGAAAAGACAGTTCATAAATTTTTGGTTCTAAGATTAATCTTACAAATGTAATTTCCTTTGATCTCGAGAAAATTGAGTTTAAAAAAAATAGTTTTGAAAAAAAAAACATTTGTGTATTTCTCTTTTTATTTGTATTTTTGTTAGGGTGGGTAGTATCTTTCCAAACATGAAGAGCTTTTTAAGATTGCTTTGTGTAATACGATTATAAAGATGGCTGTCTCAGTGACAGTTGATGAAATTTGGTTGAATATAACTTTGCTTCTGTTAATTTAATTGCCAGAATCCTGGGCTGACTTTTTTTAATTTGTTTTAGGCACTGAATTATGTTGTTTATTTCTCTCTGAAACACTTTGGTATAAATTTTGCCTTGAATAAAAAGAGAGGTGTTCTTTTCTTTTCTAACTTTAAGTACAGGAAATTTGTTTCTTGGGTGAAATGTAATCCAATGGAAAACCTTTACCTTTGAGCAAAGTTCAATTTAATACAAACAAAGTTAAAATTACCATTGGAACAAACAAAAACAATATTTTCTCCCTTCTGTCTGAATTCTGTCTCCATTTGGTTTAGTTTAGGAGAAGGAAAAATGATTTGTACGTATTTCTGGTAGTAAGATATTTGATATTCTCTGACTTCGTTTAATGATGCTTTTATTGATCTCAAGTAAAATTTTACTAAATTCTCTTTATGTTATTCCAGCTGAAAAAAAAATTAAATATATAATGAAATATTCAAATTTTTTCAAAAAATTGTGAGATAGCACAATTTAAGGCATATTTCATGAGGGAGACATTTCATGCTGTTACAGAATTAGTTTTCAAATATTGCACACGTACACGGGGAAAAAATGCTGATAATAAAACTTATCTGTTCTTGATCAGTATGAAATATTTTAGTTCTAAATTGTAAGTAACTTTTTTGAGTTCCCTTATATATAAATTCTCTTTTGTTGTCTCTGAAAATCTTGCAATTTTACTACCACACATGCTTAATATAATTTCAGATTTTGTTAAAAATTACATCAGACTTTCACTGTTTTTCACAGAATGAACCCATTAAACTTACTGAATTTTTTACTCTTCATATCATTCTTATGAACGTTTAATAAATTAATACCTTTTAGTATTAAAAACTTTTGCAATTTGTATTTTGTGTTGCCAAGATCACTACCAAAACTCAATGGCAAAAAACACAATCAAAGATCTTTTAATAGTAGAAATATTAAGTAAACAATACTAATTTGAGTTTATACAACTAAACAAGGGCCCACTAGATCCCACAAATTTCAGATTCTGCTGATGTTTTAGAATGTTTTCTACTTAATCTTGCCATTTCACACTCTTGTTTGATAAGAAATATGTCTTTAAATCAAAATAGACAAATACTTGCCGATCTAGTAGAATGTATATCCTTCTACTTCCTCGATTTGCTATAGGGTACACCTTGAATAAACTGATCTAAAAGCATTACTGCAGCGTATTTGGTTAATTAACATATTTTGCTGTATGTCTTTAAAGTGAGTAAGAAGAGCCTAACAGGAATAGACACATTTGTCTCATCACCTCTCAGTTCTAATTTGTCCTTCTCTAATGTTTTATTGAATCATATACTCTTTCACCACTGATTTCACACACATAAAATATAATTGGAATCTATAAAAAAATACAGACTTACTCCCATAATCATGGGACTTCATATAAGGACTTTTTTTGGTTTCAAAGTGCATGAGGTAATAGGAGTTAAGTTTTAGTGACAGCACTTCACTTGCACTGGACTATAGACTGAAGATTTCTAGAGAAGACCAACAGAATCAGGAGTGAGTTAACTCAGTTATTATCAATATGTCTTTAATGTCCATTAAGACGAGTTGTTGACTCTTCGCTGATTTCTGAATACTAAGAACAAGGAAGTCCTTGATTTCACTTTGTTAAATCTAATTGGAAGAGTTCCCTGTGATTTTCATGCTCCTTTTTCCTAACAATGGAACAAAAGCAGTTCATGAAGTCAGATAAAAATAAAAAGTAAAAATAAATAAATAAAAACCTAAGGAAATAATAATTTCAGCTATAAGAACCATGTCAGCTACTGAAGGTTTGTTGCAAGGTGTGAATCTTTGCAGGTGCCTGTGTTTGCAAATAGAATTTTTTATCTCTTCGAATACTTTATCTAAAGTCTGATCTATCTAACTACAGTCTTTTTCTTTCTGATCTGGCTTTTAAGTTTTCTGTGTTCAGTCACAAAAAGACTTTTGTGCCCTCGGACAACAACAACGTGGTCAGTGAGCACAGAGGAAATTTGACTTTTTGTACTCATTTCCTGTTCTTGATCCCTCTCTGGCATGAAATAATTGCAGTTGTGAAATGGGAATGGCTCCTTGAAAGTAAGGAAATGTGGCATTGTAAATTATTTGTTAAGGTGAACATCATGTGCTGATGTAAATAGTATATTAGGAACAATTGACTGCTAAGTGTCAGAATTCTGTGCTGAATTTGTGTGAACCACAGTCTGCAGATGCTAACAATTTTATCAGAAAATTAAGCTTTGGTTTCAAGTTCACGAAAGGAATCAGCCCTACCACGAAGATTATCTCCTTGATAAATCATTCCTTAAATTTACAGAATAACTGTTACAAAAGCCTAAAGAATTTTCTTTTTTCATCTTGAGCAGCCACTTCACCTCCTCCTCCCTCCACCTGCTTCCAAGAAACAGCTGAAATTTATTGATGAAAACTTAAGTTTAACCAAAAAAACCAAAAACGCAAAACCCAAACAAACAACAAAAAAAATCAGCACTCTGAACAAAAATAGCTTATCCCTGGTCAGGAAACAAATACAAGAGGAAGCATACAGCAGCAGCAGCAGCAACCATGGTCTGGTTTCATGTTAAGTGACATAGTATATTGTGTAGCTAGAAGGCCTGAAACTAAGCTGATCTAACTGTCTCTAAATCTATCAACTTGACTTCTCCTCATCATTCTTATCCTCACTGAGGAAGAGTTCACCGTAATCAGGGTCAACACAATGGTCAATACCTCTCAGCAAAAGAAGGAGAGGGGCACATGTCTTTTTATCTGTGTCACATGAATCTCATTAAATTCAGTGAGTATTTTGAAACTAATTACAAGCCTGCACATGGACCGAAGACTAAATTACCACAATTAACATATTTAAAGATCCTATTGAGTAAAGTGAGATATGTGCTCACTCCTAGGGAAAATTAAATATCTTTTGTTGGAAACAGTAGATGGGCTTGAGGATATTTGATCATAATAATAGCAAAAGGAACTCTTTGAAGTCCACATGACTGAATCATAGATTTAATAAATACCTATTGGATGGAAGTTTTTGTGGCATCTTTTTTGAGGTTTTAGCAAGGACTAATCCTGTTGATACAATATGACATGTCCCTTATTTTTAAGTGCCTCAATCCATTTCATTTAGTTTTTGATCACAGGTATTCATTTATTCAAATGTCTATGTATTAATGGCAGCAAAGTTGATCCTACATAAGCACTGCATGGTAAGACGAACATAAATAAACTTCTTAGAGACACTCAGAGTTATTATTTCTTCTATTCTGTTCTGCTAAGACTGAATTTTCAACTGTCCCTAGCTAGTCTACCTGTCTGATGACTGGGTGTTTAGTTTTCCCTAACTGAGGAAAGATTGCTAAATTTTCTTTGATTTGTTTTTTTTAGTGGAAGGTTTTTTTTGTTTTCATGTGGCTTACAGGAACATATTTTTTTTTGTTAATGATAAAATGTTAGTTACTCTGCTGATTAGGAACTGAGCATTTTCTTTGAGTCCTTGATAAAGCTGAAGAATTTAATAGTTTTCTAGGGAAGTCAATCACTATAATCTTTTTGCCTTCTTTGCTACCTGTGTCCTGCTTTATCAGAAGTTCAATAGTTTATTAAGAGTTTGCTAGTTCTTGTTTGTTAAGAAGGTTTATGAGTAAACTTAAATTTAAGGAAAATATTGTCTACAGCAATGTAACAGTTGGAATTAATTTCGTGAAATTGTAATGTGTTACTTTGTGTATGTTCTTGTTTTGGGATGTTTTGATTTGAATTAAGATATGTCTTGAATAAAGTGAATAGCTCAATGTAATACATGTACTTTTTAGATAATTATGAACAGAATCCTTACTGTATGTCAAGTTGTAGTAACTAAGCACTGGACTCTGACATTTGCTTATTCAAAGTAAATTTGCACTCAGATTGAAATGTGTGAAAACCTGTAAGTCTGTATTATGGACCAAGCTGAAAATTTAGATGACAAACAGCAGCCTGACTGTTACAATCAAACTACACTCAGTGCCATATATTCTTGATGCTGCAAAAGAAAAAATATTTGTGCCTGCAAATGACATTGTGTTTTTTCACTACATGGAAATGAATATATACATGTACGCATCCTGAAGAAATAAATCTCCGGTTGTCCCACTATTCTACAATTTTTATTACTAGTTTTATTTTTATTTTAGCAAGCTGCAGCTTTGGTCGAAAACACACTATTTATTTGATCAACCATAGTGTTATAAACGTAACTGTGGTAACTACTTTACTACATGATATCTTATTTGAACTCCATCTGTTGTGGATCATATGGCATGATCTGTGTAAATTATGGTACCACTGTATGAATAATTTCTTGATTTACTCTGAATTTGCATAATGAGATAGTGTTTGATCCTGGAAGAGAAATGATAGGCATACTTTGTACATGCAACACTTGCAGTTTTGTTCATATAAAAAGTCTCATTTCTTTATAAATTTGATTAAATCTGCACTGGAATTATGGTATATGGAAAGGCATGCATTATCTAACTTGAATATATTTTTTCATTTGGTGATGAAACAGGTAGTAGCTTTTTGTTTATATATCCTTCCCCCCATTTTCACTTTCTTGCTTTTTTTTCACTAGTTGCATTTCAGCTTTTCACCTCTTGTTTCCAGCATTGTCTTTCTGTCCTATTGAGTACTACTCGTTTCAGACATTGTTTTTTAAGTAGCAGCTGCTAAGCTCATGTCAGTATACTGCATTAACCAACACTAGCATCTCATAATTATTCCTCACTCTTCTCATTGTACAGTTATTGTACAATGACTCTGTAGGCCTGAGCTTGATTTTATTTGCCTAAAGGTCTCCACATGAGCCTCATACAATTAAATACATATTCTTTCCTTCAGAAAGCCTTGTATGATACCATATTTTTCTGCATATTAAAGAAACCTATGGTTTGTTTACATTTTTGGTGTCCTCAGCTGTTGTATAAAAAACAAAAGATTTCTCGCAAAAATCACAAAAGCTACTGGATGCATAGCTTTTAACTAAAATTCTTTGGTTTAAAACTCATACTGGAATAAACTACATAAGTGTTCAGTTAGCTTGGAGGACCTGTGTGAAATATCCCAAGAATGCCCTAGATTGCCTTCAGCAGTGAGATCTATTCTGCTGTACAGAGGAAGGATGTCCAAGAGAAATGAAGAGCTGACCAGTAGCATGTGGGAAAACACTGAATTCAAATAGTGTTTCATTGTGTTGCATGTCTTCCACTGTAGGTGAAGTCATATAGAATTGTCATGCCATACAGATTATATTATCATCTGATTTTATTAAATGTGAGAAAAAAGCCGATACTGACCATCTCGTTCCCCCCAATTTCCCAAAAGTGTTCTGGGTTTAATTCTGGAATTCTTACTAAATTTTGATTTACATTGCACACTGTAAGCTGCAGTAAGAACGTGTTTTAATCAACGTGTGCAAAGCAATATGATACTAAGTTATTTTCCCAAAATAGAGCATAGCAGCTGTTGTAAAATAAATGTATAATTATTCAAAGTAGATCTATTTGTGATACATTGCTCATTTCTCTTTAACCATTATAGTGGGCAAAAAAAATGTTTTGCACTGTTGGATTTTGAATAAAATCTTGTGTATATTCAACTGTTTATGTACCTTTCTATTATAAATTGGGAATGACATAAATTATTATAGCATAAATTATATTTACTTTCTCCATTAGTTCTTCTGGGAATACCTGAAAGCAATATATGGGTTTCACAGGATATGTGTATTAGACCATCTAGGCAGAAGAATGCAGTACCATCGGTTCCTTTCTAACTTGTACTTTCTAACTTTTTTAGGAGGAAGGTGGCAAGTGTAGTCAGCAGAAGCAAATAATACAAAGGCAGCTGTCTCATTCATCCAGTGAAAATGTTTTTATTTTCCCTTTGATTTAAAAAATTGTGAAGACTTAAACAGACCCAGGGATGTAGTAAAAATAGTGTATCTGCTGTTGTTTATCTGCTAGTGCTTATAAGAATTAATCACATGGTCTTATTCCTGGTGATTCATTTTGTAACACATTCCAGCTTTCACCAGAAGAACAAAGTTGAAAATAAAAGGCATATGAAAGTGATGAGACTGCTTACTGCGTCCAGCTCTAGAGTCCTCAGCACAGGAAGGATATGGACCTCTTGGAGCAGGTCCAGAGGAGGGCCACAAAAATGATCAGAGGACTGGAGCACCTCTCCTGTGAGGACAGGCTGAGAGAGTTGAGCCTGCTCAGCCTGGAGAAGAGAAAGCTCCAGGGAGAACTTATTGTGGCCTTGAAGTACTTAAAGGGGGCTTAAAAGAAAGATGGGGACATCTAGCAATAGGACAAAAGGCAAAGATTTTGAACTAAAAGAGGGTAGATTCAGAGTAGATAAAACAAGGAGATTTCTTACAGCGAGGGTGGTGAAACACTAGAACGGGTTGCCCAGAGGGGTGGTAGATACCCCATTCCTGGAAACATTCAAGGCCAGGTTGAAGGGGCTCTGAGCAACCTGATCTAGGTGAAGATGTCCCTGCTCATTGCAGGGAGGTTGGACTAGATGAGCTTTAAAAGTCCAGATCTATTCTGTAATTCTGTGATTCTAGATCACATACATAGGTCTGGGGAAAATGCCTTTCTATTCACTTCTTATAATTTTTGTTTTGATATCTAGGCTTACAGTGTAGGCTTTGACAGCAGAAAAAGGATCATTGGCACTTGTGCTCCCTTGTATCAGCACTGTAAGTAGCTTATGACTAACAAGTTCTTTTTATTTTCTGGACTGTAAAGAAATCTTTCACTAATGAGATCATTTTCTCAGAGTTACCAGTGCAATACATTTACTTAGAAGATGAAATCTTGTTTTCCTTCATTTATTTTTCTTCTTCTGTGCTTACCAGTTGGACAATTTGTCCCAGGTAACACAGCCTCTTTCACCGTTAGGAGTCTAATCTGTGGATAAAGAAATGAAAAATGAGCTTGCGGTTAGACAAGAAGAAGTTATAAAATTTTGCCGATTGTATTATAGAAGGATAGAGCAGGAAATAAACTTTTGAAAGTAAATAATAATTTTATTGGTTCCTTTCACCTGAGTGAGGTACACTGAATTTGGCAGAAATACGATATACATAAGCTTATGAAGAGCAATTAAGGTATCATCTTGTTTTGTAGTGACTGGATATTATTTGTGGGATTTGAGAGAACTTCTAAATGTAGCAGTCATGGTCAGTATCAAGCCTTCTCTTTAGGAGGAGTTTTTCTTAAAGAATCAAATGAATCAACTTTAAAACAAAATTTTTTTTGAAGGTGATCAAAAAATCTGCTTAACACATTCATACAAAAGTCTGTCTGCTAATTAGAAATATCCCTAGTTATTCAACAGAAATGCTTAGCTATCACCGAGTCAGGAAAAGATTTTGTGTTAATTAGTATTCATGATTTTGATAGTGGAAATCTAGTAGACAAATAGAAGGGTTAGAAGAAGAAGGACTCACCTGTGACTTGTCACTTATCAGTTGCATTCAGAGAATTTGTTTGTCCTTAAAAGACCCATTTCATAAACACTAATAGATTATGTAATTTCCTCTTATTTTGTAAACAACAGATGCCAGTATAGTATAGCTAGGGAGAGATTTGCTTACACTTCTTCTGGTGTTTTAAAGTCAGTCTTCTTTCAGCTAAAACTAGAACAGATATTGATTCTCAATTTATATTTCTCAAATTTAAATGTAGAATGAACACATGCCCTGTACAGTAATTGAGCTGGAGAGGCATTTAACATCCCAAGTATTGATCAGCATTTCCTTGCTTATGCACCATTGATTGCGAACTGCAGTTAAGTCTGCTTTTTCTGAAACACTCAGGTTTCTTTCTGTATAATGTTAGGACTTGCATACTAATAACTGTGTGGTAATGATTTTGTGCTGTGTCTTTACCAAACGCATATACCATTGGCAAAGCAAAAGATTTTCTATTTTGTTATACTTATAAATGTTATTTATTATTTCATTTAGTTCCAGCGGGCAGTGGTGGTATTTAAGAAATACCTGTATTTAATATGTTTGCATAACAAATATGATTGCACACACCTGTGGTGGCATCAGGTCTAAAGAAAATGAAGAGCATGTGCTGATGTTGTAGCTTCATGGTATAACGAGGAATAGAAGGAGCCACTTGCTACCCATGTAAATGATAGTGGGTGAGCTGCGAACCATTTATCAGTATGATCTTGGAATTTAGTTTAGAAGTGGGTAAGTACAGACAGTTGAAGAACACAATAATTATACCCTAGTAGTGTCATGACATATCGGGTTAAAAAAAAAGAAAAAAAAAAAAGTACTGCCTCGGTACTAGTGCTTTTACATGTAGTACAGCAACAGGTAATATTCAGAGATGTGCTGCTCTCAGATACAAGGTTGATTCAGGTGTTTTTCCTGTGTTCTCTTTGGTTACAGTTGGAGCAAGTGGTGTTCCTTGTATTAACCTGAACGTGTTTTTTTTCACTGGCAGATAATTGTGATGATCAGTTGGTGTCTGCTTTGCCTCAGTCATCATTCAGCAGTTCATCAGAGCTGTCTAGCAGTCACAGCCCTGGATTTGCAAGGCTTAATCGAAGAGAGGGTGAGTGTATTTTGTATGTTGACTGATGCTATTTTTTTAATAAGTATTTTTAAGCATTTTTGTACCTGTGCACAATGTTGAAATGATACATAGTGAGCATATTCTGGGCTACTGGGGCTGGAGAGAGTTATGTTTGTTATTTTAAGGAGAATGGGAAGGTGAAACAGTCACAAAGAATTCACTTTGCCACATACACTAAATTTTTCATAGTAAAATTTTATGTTCAGACACTGTTGAACATTTTACTAATTTTAATATAAGGGATTCATCCTGAGTGAAACCAAGATCTTCCTGTGATTTTCCAGCATAAAATGTAGATAGCTTTGGAAGTATATTAGTGCCCACTCCTAAAACAAAATTTAAATTAATTTTGTTTCTTAACAAGACAATAATAATGTAAATAATCTCTTTTTTCTTAGAGGATAAATAGAAAAAGTGCAAATAAATGAGTATCATTGTACATCATTCTCTAAGGAAATAAGGGTAAATCCAGATTCCATTTGGAAATACAGGAACAGATATTCAGGAAATATTTTTGAGAAACTGTTTTCTCTTTTCCCTTGCAGTTTGAAATCTTATTATTGTAATGTTATTTCTTCACTGAGCCTAGTATTTTATTATGCTTATTCACTGACACTGTAGCAAAATTCGTAACTAGCATATGGTCCAAATTTTTACTGAAGTGAAGGAAACTTGTGTGTTAGGTTATTATTTATGTTATACCTCTAGATAAATCTTCTGAAAGCTCTGTATTATTTCTATTTTTCTTTGATTTAATAATTAAACATACATTTTCCGTGTATTTGGTCAATTATGGAACATTTTCTTTTGTTAAATGCATTAAACTTTGATAGCATTGTTATTTTTGCTTTTTCTGACATGTAGCTAAAGCATTTGAAAACTTGGGTATATATGTCAGAATATGTGGAGATTACCCATTTTAGCTGAAGTTTAGTGGTAACTCAAATCTTTTGTTTTAAGGATACTGTAGGAAGTAAAAATGATGAATTTCTTTTAATTACTGTAAATAAGTTTTCTGTTCCTAAAGGAAATGCATTGTCTAAATATCCTTTCTGTGTGAAGGACATCTATTCTGAAGCTTTGTGACAGTATCTGTTAGATTATATAAAATCTGTCCAAAAAAATGAGTTTGTACTGTCAAGACATACCACATTAGACTCTGTGCTGTGTTTGTGGCCTATTTGTAACATAGAATTATGTTCAAAAGTAGTGTTAAAAATACATGTAAGTACATTGAGCATTAAAAAGATAAAAATTAACTTTGAAATACCAAGAAATCCCAGTCATCAGCCTCATTAGGCAAATATCCAGAAGCTCAGTCATTCCTGTCAATAATGTACTGAAGGTAATTTTTCTTTCTTTCCCTGGCGTACCACATAAGTTCTTGGTCTTAACATCACAGTGCTAGTGCTGAGGAGGAATAATTTTTTTTTAGGAAGGATTTTATTAAAACGTGGCAATATGGTGTTACTGGTTAACAGAATCCCATTTGTTCAAGGAAGTTATGAAGCTCAACTTCCAACCCATTGGTAAACCTACTGACAACACGAGCACACAGTGGCTCGAGCTGCAATACAGGCTTATGGAAGAAGAAGCTTTTATGGACAATGACTGCTATTTAATTATTGCCCATGAGGAAGCATGAAAGAAACTGATTCAAAATTGCAGTCTTGGGAGACCTCACTGAAGTACTGTGTCTTGAGTCACAAGCTGATCTTAATAATTCAGCATTAATACAGACAATGAGAACTATGCTGGTTATTTGGAGCCACTGAAATACATTCAGTTCCACTCACGTATTTAATTATTAAATATTATATCAATGTTTTTAATTGAGAAGTATGTAAATTGAATCTTCAGAATAGTTTGCCTTGCCAAAAGCATTTCCATTCTTGAATCTTTGTGATTTTCTGGAACATTTGCTATGTACTGATAAATAGAAACTCTATAGTGAAGAAGGAATATCCCAGTCTGTTCTATTATTGTGGTGTACAAATTTGATAAGCATGAAGTTCTGTTTTGAATGAAACTGTTATAATAAAGAAAATTATACATTGGGGAAGTACTTGCCTTAAGTTGAAGTAATATGCACTCTTAGAATCGTAACTAACACACAAGTTCTCGTCAAAGAGTATATTGGTTTTCCCAAAAATTTAAAAACTTTTTCCGTTTGGCCCTTTTCATGTGCTATGAAGTTGTTTGTACCATGTTAGCATGCATTTTTAGTATTTATTATATCCTTCACATTGCCCTGTAGCGTGTGCACACATTAGAAATACTCACAGCTTTATGTCTGTAGATACAAAGCAGCAGTTTGCCTAATTAGAGGATTGCTAGCTCTCTGCCTTCTCATTCCATATACCTCAGGTTCATAGTGCTCAACACAACACAGATTTGAATGTCTTACTCATTTGTCGTGCTCAAATGTTTTCTTGGTTTAGTGACTTGTGATCAGACTGTTTGCTTAGATACCTTTTGGTTCTTTCAGACATAATTCTATGGAATTGTGTAGATGAGGTGAGAGAAAAAATTTCTTCAGTCTTCTATAGATTAATCTGAAATAAATTAGTCATAACTTTTTTTTTTTTCTTCAGTGAAAGTAGAGACTCAGTACTCACTATAGAGCAAAGAATACCTTTTCTGTACTTAATCAGTATTTGACTGTTTTCTGTGAATTTTCAAGAGAAAACCTGACTATATTTGTAGGTGTATATACATGAAAGTTTTATTTGGGTGGAACAAACTCATTATACGTACATGGTTATAAGCAAATGGGTTTAGTCACACAAGAAATGACTGTTAAACTATATCAACAGGGAAAAATGTCTATTCTTAAGAGAACATGACTTGGATTGCTATGTTGTCAGTGATTTCATGGAAGCGGTGAACACATCATTACAATTTCCAAATAAATTATCTGATAATTGTAAATGGATTTGCCTTTAATATAGATAATTCTCTACTTTGAATGAAACCAAATCATTAACTCAGCCAAAGTTAGTGTTTGGGAGTGAATGTGACCTTCTAACATTCAATTTAGACAAGTAGATTACGGTCCTAGTTCAATAACGTACTTGGTTCTCAAAATGCCAAAATTCAGGAAAATTGAACACAATCTAGACAGGAAGAAGCACAGTGTTTTTACACAGATCACTTAGAAGTCAAATTGTTGTCATTCATCAGTAAAGAAATAAATATACATTTAAACCTACACTGCTTTAATTGGCAAAGAAAATGTAGAAATTAGCAGGAAATTTATCAGGAATGTGGAAAGTTGTACTGAAGGGGGAAAAAATTCTTTAATCATATAGCTTTGTGGTTACTTAATGTAGAAAAGTAATAGGGAAAGTTAAAGGGATTGAGGAGAGGATGTTGTAGTTTAAAAAGAAAGATACAGTGTGGAGTTTAAATGAAGACATAATCAAATGGTGACAGCAGAGACAGTTTAGTAAAATAGGTAATTGCCATTATGTTTCAGCTCTCTGTAAAGGAAAAGGATAATGTGGTTGAACTACATTATGAAAAAAAAGTATTATCAGTTTATTAGCAGCTAAGAAAAATGATAACATGTAGGAATAACTTGTTAAATGTTCTTCAAACTTTTAATTATTGTTAGTGCATTGTTTTCCTGGAGCTTTACAAATATTCAGTACTCAAGCAAAGCCCATGTGTACTTCTGCTAACAGCTAAAGTGGTTACTCTGACATCAGCTCTGCTTGCAATAATGGAAAAGTAGTCAGAAGAGTCAAGTGACAAGAATTAAGTAAAAATACCAAACTGTAATAGCAGTCACCAATGAAAAATAGGTCTTATAAAACTGTGTTTTAATTAGTAGACATAAGAGCAGAGATTTAATATATGTGGAATTTGACTTCTGGCCTAATGTTCCGTGACTTTCTAATAGTAGCACAGTATCAACAGAGTCCAAATTAAATGGATGAACATCTAGCTATTTGATCTCAAAAAGCGTTTATCATTACTGTACAAAGGTGTTTCCACAGAAGTTCAGAGGAAATTCTAAGGCCAAATCTGTTCAATACTTTTGTTGGTTCTGTACAAGTAAACACAAATCATTTGTGATGAAATGCATAAATGACATGAAGATTGGTGAAATAGTGAATAATCATGGCAAAGCAATTATGCAGAGATATGGTAATCAATTTACCTATTGAAAGATGCGTTTTAGCAATGTGAGTTATAAAGTGTTTAGAAGAAAGAAAGGAGGTCATACTTATCAAGCAGGAGCTGCATCCTACAAAGCTGTGACTCTGAAATTAATCTGGGAGTTGACCTTAATTAGCAATTCACCATTAGCATGTTCTCTAGCAGAAAGAAGTAATGAAGCGTTTGTATATAAAAACAGAAGAAAGGAGTTCTTACTGTCCATATAGCTATATACTTTACCACTGAGCTGTGGTGTAAAATTCTGGATCCCAAAAGGCTTGTTGAAAAACTAGGTTGTTTTTCTCTGCTGGTTCCACCACCGTGAGTTGGTGATACAAAAAATGTTTAGAGGCGGTGCTTTTTTTGTATGCATCTTTCTACACGAGGAAAAAAAAACCCAAACCCCAAAAACAATCAAGAGAAGAAACAAAGAACACCCTGGCTATGCTCCTAGATCTGCAAAAGGTTTGAAAAAGCCAGGTGGGGACAGAAGCATTTAAGGATTTGTATGTCTTAAGAGTAGGTACTTGGTCCAAAGGAAAGTGTGATGCCTCATTTCTCCCTATAAAGAAGTGTGTTTTTTGTTTTTTTGCATGGGATAAGTAATACACACTTCTTTATACGGAGAAATGAGGAATCCTAAAAGAAGGGAAAAAATGGCCGGTATGCAGAGCATGCCTACTAGGACCAGTGATAGGAACTGTAAGTATCAATATCTAACCTGGGCCATCAAGGATGTGTGTCTGTCCACAGTTTGCCAATAATTTTCGTGATGAATAGTCAGCTGAAGTTTGGCACTACAGATGGTTTACTCC